CAACTAGAGAGGAGGCCAAGATGTATGTCCTCAATTTTATGGCATGAAAATATCTGCCTGCTTTTTGCCAAAATAATAGAATTATTCAACGCATTTTACAGTTCTAACAGACCCATGACTTCCAGTTTCATCAACTTCACAAATCAATTATTAAAGTCTAGTATTTATAACCCGCATCAGCCTATCAACAGAGGGCATGATTTGACCTTTTGATTTATGTAAAACATATCAGTTGTCATCATTTCTCTTCAGAGGGAAGAGAGATCTTTAGATCTTTCACAAACCAGGACTAGCAGAAAAGGAAACAGCAATTCACTAATATAAAGTTAAGTATTTTTAGAATTAAATTTTGATGGGGAAAAAAACTCCAAACACAATGGAAGGAACCAGTATTATTCTGCAATGCGCAACTGTCCTACTGGAAGTGTCAATAGCAACTTTAATACTGCCTACACGGCCTGAAATAGCCATTACATATCATAAAATAACACTATGGTTGTTTCTTTCTCCATCTTCAAAGTGAAAGCAGAAAACTGAAGAAGGTGAGTCCCACCAGGGCAGCAGGGGCACAGACTTCAAGGGAACATCAGTTACAAGCTCTCCCCATTCCTGAGGCTGACACCAAGCATCTATGCCAAGCACAATGCGGGCATATAGAGACCAACAATGCAACCCAGGGCTGCTGGTTTTCCCATGTTTCAAGATTACTCATTTGTAGAGTCACACATTAGTAATTTTCTTTAAGTTCACTGAAGCAGAAACTAACTCAACACAACTCCGGTGAGCCAATTTCTCACAGTTTCTCCTTGCAGAAGGAGTAGATAAACCTGAGCTGCGAGATTGCCTGCGAGCCCTGAAGGCTCTCCATCATGCCCGACACCTCCCAATAGCTTTATCTGACGATTTGGCTAAACAACAACAAGAAGCTGATACTAGAAAGAGAAATTTAATACCGATGCTTGTGATTTATGAACTGCTCTAAGGAGTACAGGTTTCACTTGCAGTTCTTCTGTAGTTGGAGAGCCTATATGTAATTCAAGCTCGCCCCCCAGTGGACTCCATGCCCACACCACTACACTAAGTTTTGAGGACACTGGCGAGAGTACTGGGGAGCCAGGGCACAGCATACTTAAAAAACCCTAGGAATTACTCAGAGAGAATTAACTGTTAACCTTCTATAATATTTCATTTCCGTTCTTAATTAAGAGTAAAAGAAGTATATACCTTCCAACCAAGTTATTCATCCTGTCAAAATACTACCTTGTTTAACAAATAAAAAGCAAAATACCAAGCACAACTACAAGCTGGGGGGAGACTGGATTGAGAGAAGCCCTGAGGAGAAGGCCTTGGCAGTCTTGATTGATGAGATGCTTAACATGAGCCGGCTTCAGTGTGTGCTTGCAGCCCAGAAAGCCAACCGTATCCTGGGCTGCATCAGAAGAAATGTGACCAACAGGTCAAGATGATTGTCCCCATCTACTCCGTTCTCATGAGACCCCACCTAGAGTACTATGTCCAGCTCTGGGGCACCAAACACAAGAGGGACATGGAGTTGCTTGAGTGGGTCTAGAGGAGGGCCACAGAGATGATCAGAGGGCTGAAGCACCTCTCCTATGGAGACAGGCTGAAAGAGTTGGGATGGTTCAGCCTGGAGAAGAGAAGGCTCCAGAAAGACCTTAGAGCAGCCTTCCAGTACCTAAATGGGGCCTACAAGAAACTGGAAAGGGACTTTATACAAGGGCATGTAGTGACAGGACAAGGGAGAATGGCTTTAAACTGAAAGAGAATAGATTTAGATTAGATATTGGAAAGAAATTCTTCACTGTGAGGGTGGTGAGACACTGGAACGGGTTGCCCAGAGAAGCTGTGGATGTCCCATCCCTGGCAGTGTTCAAGGCCAGGTTAGACGGGGCTTTAAGCAACCTGGTCTAGTGGAAGGTGTCCCTGCCCATGGCAGGAGAGTTGGAACTGGATGATCTTTAAGGCCCCTTCCAACTCTAACCATTCTGTGATTCCATGATTATTTTTCCTCCTGTATCCAAATGACTGTGAATGTTTTAGTGGCTATGCATATATAGTAAGTAGTAAGAAGAAAAGTTCTCAAGCACATTTTGCTTTGGTAAACAATTGTCAGCAAGATCAGTCTGCCTAAAATAATAATAAAAAAAAAGTCTGTATTACGCAATGCTGAGTTTCTGTGATCTTTTCTCAGAAAGCTTCCTACTGAAACTTGCTCACCCTTGCATGCATAGCTGTCATACTTCATTTATACTTATCCAAAATGGCACTAATTACTGTGGGTCATAAGTGAATGATTAACTTCTTTTGCCTGAAGCAAAAATAAAGGGCAAGATAAAAAAAGTAAGATGAGATTAACACGTAAGAGTATGCTCATGCCCAATGCTACATGTGAGTCTGAATCCACTGACTTCTTACCAAGACCTGAGAATTGTTCCAAAAAACAAATTTAATTTTAACCGCATAATACAGATTTTCTCACTGGTTCCATTGGCTAAATTCCGTGCTCACCTTCTCTCTAGACTACGCTTTACTTGCTGCAGGTGTGAAGACATGACAATATAAAGCAGTTAACAAATGACCAATTAATGAAGTTTTTTTATTTGGTTTTATTTTTCTTTTCTCCCTGAAGGAATAAACCAACATCCAAAATGACTGCAAAATATTTCAGGCAGATGCCTTTTGAGGTGGGGATCTGTTTCAGCCAGCTAACAGCCTGGCAGGTATCTGGTCTTCCTCTATATTCAGCAGTGAAAGAGAAGCACCTTTGCAAGCCAATCCCTAGGTCTACCTGAAGAGGGATTAATGTGCCCCAGAGGTGCCAATCCTTCTTCTCTGACTACCCAGAGATCCCAGACAGATAGCATAGCCTAGACATCCAGCTGCCAGGGAACCAAGGTTAGGCAGATGGGACCTATGATTACGGCAGGTACAGAAACTCACTTTTGTGCTGCTGGAGAGTTACAGCTGCAAAAATTGTAATTACCAACACCATTTCAAGCCTTCAGTGCCTGGTTTTGAACACCCTAAGTGTACAGCTTGAGATTCAGAGGTGCAGACTATCTAACACTGATTTGAGTGTGTTACTTGCAAGTGCTGGGCTGTCGTAAGATCACTAATGAACTAACAAATGAGATTCTTGGTGTTTTAAAAAGTCACAGCAGAGAAGAGCCTTCTGTATTTCTGGGCTAACTTGGGTGTGACATTTCTGAGGTTGTTCACATCTAGTTTTGTAACTCAGCTCCTTACAGGATGCTTGCTTATAGTCCTGGGCTGGTCACCAGTCTTGCAGGCTAGAAAATAGTGACCTGCCTGTGATATAAATATGTAGTAGTATTTTTGGTTCAAACCAAACTGCTTGTTTTCATGCTTTTGCTAGGCTCTCTACCTTCTAATCTCCTACAGACATGTAATGCTCAAAGGGCGAAACAGGCAAGAATAGGGAAATCACTTAGAAATCAGGGCAGGGGGAAGGAAAGGGACAGAGCAGGATTAGATTGGGATAAAAGAGTAAAACAGGAATGACAGAGAGCAAGATGAAAGGCTAAGGTATATAAAATATATTGGAAGGGTAGGGGATTAAAGACCACACTGAAGATGGGGAAAATAAAGGAAGAGGGAAAAAGAATTAAGACAAGACATGATAAATCAGGGGAGAGGAGAAGATACAAGAATCAATGGGAAGGTATGAAGAGCCTAGAATAATTGGCCTGGAGGGAAATGTAATGAAATTCCCAGATCACCAGAACATTTCTGCTGTTTAAGGAATGGACTCTTACCTTACAGAAATTGATTTAGTAGGGGGTATTAGGATGAGCCTTGTTCTGTATGCCTCTCAACAAAAGCCCTACCAGCCGAAAGACATACTGGAAAGAACGATGGGAGAAACGGTCTCATTTGAATTGGAAAAGCCATCACTTAGTTTTTTAAAATAATATCTCATACTCTTTAGAGTACATCACACCACAGCAAGTGCCAGCATGTTCTCAGCAGAGAACAACATTGGGCTATATGCCCATTTTTTCTCCAAGGAGCTACTAGAACGCTGAAGAACATTAGGAGCAGAGAGATCAATAAATTTAATTTAAGCAAATCAGCAGCAGAGTAAGGAACAGCACTGAAGCTCGGAGTGTTCTGTCCACTGCCTTTCTAGCCATCCGAGCAATGCCCTCTTAAATTGTTCTTGATGACTTCAAATCACTGCTCCTGAGTTTATCCACAGTAAAATTACAACAGTTACACATCATTGCTTCAGCTACCCTTTCATGCCTGTCATGTAGACTAGTAACAACCCTTAAAGGTTAATAAGGACACCAGGTACTGATTCAGTGTTAAGTATTACCACCCTTGAATGGGATCCAGCTCATGAATGCACCTCTCTTGCAACTCTGTTTTAGGGACCTAGTGCTACGTATTCTCATAAAGTGACTTCCTTCTGCAGTAAGTGGCAGGTGCCTCTGCAGCCTCCAGAAAAAAATACTGAGGTAGTCAAGTTTACACTTGAATTGAGCTGAAGGCATTTAGTGGCACTCAGCATTCAAGGGCTACAGCTATAAAAGCAAGTAGTAGCTCAATAAGAGTAGGTCTGTAGAGTGAAAAAAACCAATGGTGCTGAAGAACCATGTCCACGCTGTATGCTCTTCTTGAGGGTTTTCTTCGGACTAGCTCTGGTTGGTCCCTAGCAATCACCACCCATTGTTTGTTGAAGCACAGCAAGTGTGTCACTGAAGGCCACTTTTCTGTTTAGTTTCATCTGAAATCAGCCTGGTTTGTGCTGACACCGCTCTTGTCCTGAGAAGCGGGGATGACAGGGAAGTTCAATTCAAAAGCACTCTCTTGATCTGCACCAGAATGGACATCTCTGTTACTTAGGTACACACCTTTGGCTCTCAGTGTAGGATGATGAGTTCAATAGGTCCTAAATTAGGCAGAAAGGAACCTGCTTGTCTTAACTGTGGTACACAGTGCCAGCAAAGTCTTACCTGTGTGCGTCCTCCGGTGAGCTTTCAGGTGGGAACTTTTTGTGTATACTTTGTTGCATCCCTCAAAGTCACACCGATGGATGCGCCGCTTCCTGGAGTCTGGAGACTCAGACCTCCTCTGACGCCTTGTGCTCTCAATACTGAATGGTGAAATTGAACTAAAAAACAGAACAGAAACAAAACAATGAAGCAAGAGCATGGTGTATATCTTATGTCCCAAAAGATCAGCTGTAACATATCACTGTGCCAGAAGTGACCTTCATAATTAACTTTTTTCCTTTTCTACCACATGGTCCACAGCACATATTTAAAACAATCTGTGCATGAACTAGAGGATATTCAATAATTCAAGTCTTGATTTAGATGTGTTTATTGCTGAGAAAACACCACGATGCTTGAAATATTGCTCCAATAGCGAAGTAGCCTGACTTTAACTGAACTTGTTTTGTACTTTATGTGTGTCCAGATCCAAGCTCACTGAATCATGCTTTCTAAACATCTTTATATATAGCCTCCATAATTCCTCTTTGACAAGTTTAAATAGATAAAAATCCTGAAATCTGTTATGAAGAAGTGCTTCCAGTACCCAGATCTGGACCATGGATCCTCGCATCTGGCCAAACACCTGTTATTTGCTTGCGTACAGATTGCCAACAGATCCAGATCACCCCGCATTCCATTCCCTTATTTAACAATTCTCAATCTATCACCTGCAAGTCAATGAATTTTATTTCCTTTCAGACAACTGATAAATAAAAAGTTTATTAGCACAGGGCCAAAGGACAATCTCCACAGAAATGTGAATGCTCATACACCGTTCACAGCAATGTCCTAAGGCCTATCAGTCATCCCAATTTTAAGCATACAGTGTTGAAGTCATGTTGCTTAAGTTTGTAAATACTGTGTGTACCAAGCCTGACACCTGAAGGAAGCCTGCTACAACAATGTACTTGCCAAGGTTAGATAAACTTGTGTCATAAACTGTTATCAAGCGGGTATGCCAAGATCCAAACCCTCGCTGACTTCCATGAATTATATTACCCAGCTATAAAGCATTATTAATTGATTGCCTTATCAACCCCATCATGGTTATACTGCACAGCAGTCACGTTCACCTACTGTTACACTAGCCTGTTTAGCTACTTTAAGTACTGGAAAAACGCTGGCTTTCACCAAGTTTCTGGGGCTTCCCCCACATTCTTGGGTTTATTGACATTCAAGGTAAATGATCTAGAGATTCATCAGCTAGCTCTTTTAAACTCTTAAGATGAAAGTTCCCAGTTCTCCTGAAAGAATTTGTGACTGCCAAACAAAAATGAATGGGAGGAAAAGAAAGTCATCACAAAAAGAAGTAAGCACAAACCTTGGTGGAAGCCAAGATACTAAGAAAGGCATTTGAAAGAAGCACTGATGTCAATGCATCTGCTGAGAAGCTCCTGTGTCAACACCAGTCTGCAACCTTCTGTACAACAGCCACTGCTGCTACAGCTATAGCTGTTCTGGCATAAACTGCACTTCTAGAGATCTCCAGAATTTGCTGAGGACTGGGTTAAAATTTTGCATAAAGCATCTTGCACCATTTGACTTGCATGTGATTTGACTGATGTTCCAATTCTCTGCATACAAATCTTTAAGCCTTGAACTAATGGTATTTGAAATCATACACTTTTCTTTTTGTTTAAATATTTTTACAGTATGACCCTAATTTAAAGCATTATTTTAGAAAAATTGAGTACCCTCTTTCTGACAGCCCTCTTTCTCTCTTAACACTTGATGTATATACTTATTTCACCTTCAGGCAAAGAGATTTTCCAGATTAATTATTTTTGTCTCTAATAATGATGATGTGTGTTAGTGGGTGTGCAAGGAATTTCTGAAGTGGAGAAAGAAATGGACAGATTGCCATAATACCAACATTAACTAGCAAAAAGTAGTCCCCAAGAGAGTAAGACACACCAGCACTTTAACTATGTGACAGGAATACAGATATTTTTAGCTGTCACAGAAATGGCTTAGTAATTGCATTTAAGCATCTGGGCAAATAACAGTCTTGGGTTAGATGATTCACTGAGAATGGTCTTGCTACTCTAGTCTTTTCTTTAAACATCTAAAATCAAAAGCAAACATGTAAATCAAATCTTAAAGTTCAATACTGAAGGTACAAAATCCACTGTTCTAGACCAGAAAAATCTTTATCTTTAACAATAAATATTTGTGCATCATTCTTGTGGCATGTGATTTACAAGATGTCTCAAAAGCCTATTTTGTAACAGGGTGTTCAGCTCCTGGATAGTACAGCTCATTTACATGGGAGGAGGATCAAGCTTGTAATGCTGCTGTAATTCCCAGCCCCAAGACAAAACAAAGCTTGAGAAGAATGAGCACCTTGTAAAAAGCTCTTTGTCACGTACAAGAAGGTGACCTCATTGCTGGGAACTGCTTTGTGCTTTCCCAGGAATTTACACAGGAGAGGGTGGCATAAGGCAGTGCCAAGAAGGTGGCACATGATCAGTGCTGCTGCTTCTTATCTGGATTGCTCTCTTTTTCTAAAAGCATCTTATCTATTCCATGCCATGGAAAATAACCGAATAAGCCACAGAAGGTGACGTGCATTGCCACCAACCCTGACTGCTTCACAACCACCACTTGCTCAGTGTGCCAAGAAGGGTACTGTCAGCTGGAACCAGCAAATGTAACTGCATGCCTTCTCTTCACAGCAGTGCAGGCTACGTGACAAACTAATCAGCAGGAGAGACTCACATGGCAAGTGAGGGCACACCTCCGCGGTGATCTCTCCCTGCCTCTCTAAGCCCTGTGACACAGGGGAACCCCACAGAGTAGACACACTCACTGCTGGAAAAGAAGCCAGATCCTACTTGATACCACCAGCTTTGTTGTAGCCTTACAAAAGCTGTGCGGTTTTTTTTAATGGAGATACCACAGCCCTAAAAAGAGCACAATGTGCTTTTTTGGAGCTTCCTGAGGTTAGTCCCTCTCACAGAAATTTTCAGTTGATCTGCTGATGTTCTTTCTCTTGGCCGTACAGCAGTAAAGGGAAACCCTCCTCTTCCACGAGCAGTTTCTACAAAATACCCTCAGTGACCACACAGACATAACAGAAGTCCTCAAAATGTGTTTTGTGCCTTTTAAAGGCCATAAGGGTTCTGCCACATGGCTCTGGTCGGGACAGGGATGCAGAAACTACCTGTCTGATGGCACCACGGTAGACAAAGACTTTGACAATGGACATGACAGGGAACTCAAAAATATTTAGTTTTTGGTCATGAGCGTTTTTTTTTCTGAGTTTTTTCCTTTTTGCTTATAATGTGTTTTACAATCTCGTAAAATAAGTAACTGAAAAAAACACACCATAGCAGCCTCTCTTGACTCTAAATGTCCCTCACCAACTGCCCAGAGAGAAGACCTGGAAACACATCAGCAGCTGAGAGCTGCCAGGATGCTGAGACGAGGAGCTGCCAGTTCTCCTGTTAATGGCCAGATGTCAGGAAGACTTTAAGGCTTAAGGTGTGGTTTAGCAGTAGGACTGACACCACATGTAACATCCCAGAGAAACTGCAGGATGTATCAAATTACTGCTGATACATCAAGTTTGAGAGATTAACAAGGAAGAAAATTGGGTTCTGACCTGTCAGCTTGATCTTTATTTATTTGCAGTTCATTATTTCTATATTCGTGTAGAAGCTGTTACACTAGCAGAAATCCTAAGAAACTGACGGTTGCTTCCATAAGCAGCTGAAACATCTGTAGTGAGTACTGCTCAGAGGGTGAAATGAATGAAACCAATGTGAGCATTTAGGGTAACTTACAAAACTTCAGCTGTGTTATTTCCAGCTACAAGTGAAAACATGCATCTTTGCAACTCACACATGGCCAAGTGCTTGTCTCTCATGCAAAAAAAAGTCTGCAAAGTAAAACAGAGACTGGGGCTTCACCAGTAGATGGCCATCAAGTTCTGCTGAACGTGATCTGCACTGCATGAGACAGGGATTATAACCCTGGTAATGCAGGATTTATTTTTTCTTTCTACGAATGCTGCCCACAACCTCCTAGGAGTTTCTCTTCTGTTCTACACAGAGACTGTGAAAGGCCCCTGGCGTACTTAGTAACACTGCTAAAAACACGTGTAGAGGGCATTTTTATACCAGTCCTATGTTTTCTGAGTGATATACAGAGCAGAACTGCCTGGGGAAGACAGTGTGTTTACTAAAGCCTTGAACTGCCTTCAGTGCTGCAACACACCAGCAACATGCCATGCACGCGGTGACAAATCACTGCACTCTGCTGCTCTCCATGAACAGCCTGCTCATGTGCTCTCACCCTGTGGCAAATGTAGTGTTACCTTTGTCCACCAAAGTATGAGCTTCCTGGTGCTGATGGCCTCCCAGCAAGCCAGATAAGAGGTGTCTGATGTCGCATTTTCACCCTTGTGATTGCCACCTTTACTCTTCCTTGGTCCCTCTGCTATGAGCTCAGACTGTGTGCCTATGTCTCCTGCTTGTCTTGCAAAGACCTCATGGAAAACACACTGACACAGCTAATAGGTGTAGACCAGCGTGTGTCCAAAGTCCTCTCCACCTTACCATACATCTCTCCTTTACAGCATTCAGGTTGCATTACCTTCCTCCCAAGCTGGTCCTGTAGTTAAACAAGAGATTTACGGCTGCACCTTAACAATAGGCCACAGCTGCTAAAAACGGAAGCTGACTTTATTTTGGGGTGAGACCCAAGCATGCATCAGCAGTATCCTCTCCACTCCGGCTACTATGAGAAGGAGAACCAGACCTGGCTCAGCTCTATGCAGCATCTGCTCAGCCTGGATGAGGGGCTCAGCAAGCCGGAGTGTGTCCCCCGAAGCAGGCATAACACAAGCCGCATCCCTCTTGTGTTCCTCAGGCTCTGGGCTGTTGAAGGATGTGATATGGCTAAGATGGCATACCAGGACAGTGCTGCTCCAGTTCCTTTCCCTTGTGTGGGCACTAGCACTTGCCTGATCCTGCAGCAAGCCAGTTCAGGGACCCACACTGACAAAAACTCCATGATGAAAAAAACCCAAAAAACCCCAACCCCCCCAAACCCAAGCAGCTTGCTTGCTTTTGCTGGTTTCATTCCCTGAATAGTGAAGGCTGCCAAGTACCTG